TAAGATACATGTAATCGATGGCAGTGAAACATGAAACCATTCACTGAACAACTGAGTTTTTGCCTGTTATTGACAAGAGCAGTATACATGTCCTTTACTCTTGTACTGGACTATCTGGAGTCAAATTTCAAATTAATCAATCATTAATACATGCATAATATTTTTATAATAATTGTTGAAGTTTAAGGATGGCAGGCATTAGGGTAAACATACCTTGAGCAAGAGGAATAATTGATGTCCATTTAGGCTTATAGTCTTGTTGACTGATATAATAACTGAAGAAACAATCTGCAGAAAAATAAACAGAAATGCTGGTTTAGAAAACAATTTTGTGTGCAAGCATACATGTCCAATGATAAATGACCTGTTTTCTCTTTTCTTCTTCTACAGGAGAGACATTTGCTTTCATTGACCATGATAAAAGGACTACAGTAGTACTCTTGAACCAAAGTGTGTTTGCAGACGTAACGCTCTTTATACACAAGTTAGAATGATCTGACAAAATCTAATTTTACCCGGCAATTAAAGCAATAATAACTATCCCGCAGATGGGTCACAAGAATTAGGAAAATCATCAGTATGGGATTACACTGTACGTTTGTGTGCCACTCAGTTGTTAGAGATACATGTATGCACCATAGAAAGTAAAAATGACTTTACAACCAAAGACTGAAAGGGAATTAATAAGTATGGCAAGTCAGTGAAAACAAAAATATATAGACCAACATCTGTTGATCAAACAACTTTACCTTTGGAAGCTTGCTCTATGATTTTTTCACATCCATCAAAGTCATTATTTATCACCTTGAACAGAAAACGGAACAATATACAAAATTGTGAACACAACAGATTAATAATATTTTTATTAATAGTTTTTATAAGTCATGAATGATGAAAGCGTACAACTAATTGATAGTTGTATGCTTTCATCATTCCACGAATGCAGCCATTGGTTATATAGCATAGTATATATTAAAGTTTTCATCATGCTGTCAACCAGATCTGTGCCCTCTACATCATGTGGATGTCCACATTTTGGGGAAAAAAATAATTACCCAGGCAGTTCGGCCTGGGTTTAAATTTCGGCTCTATTTGTGTTTTCCTCATTCAGTCACAAATCGCCGTCTGGTCTCTAAAGTGCATGCGTCACCTGAGCAGGCGTACAGCACATGGAATTTACAGAAGTTGTCGTCATGAAAAGTTAGCACAGATTCCATGATTTCTAGGGCAATGAAATCACAGTTTGCGATAGACCAACTCTAAAGGATGTTAAGCGTTTAAGAATGGGTCGGTCTATAAGCCTTACGAGAGATCAATTTTAAATACGCGTAAACCTTTTGAGTGAATTTATCAAAAATCATGTTATACCAAAGGAGCTATCAACCAGGGCTATGAACTCTTCAACTTGATAAAAAGCATCTTCAGAAGTGTCATCGAATTTTTAGATGTGATCATGAACCAAGTAGAATCCCAGCAAGAACCCAAGAACATCCAAACAACAAGAGCAGAAAGGTTAGAGAATTTGTTTACGAATGTATCTGTTTGAGTACACCTAAGTAAAACGTTCTGACAAACTTTGTAAAGTATAATAAAGTTAAAATCATGAACTAAACAATATTCTCTCATTATTTTCTTGTAAGAGAGTTACAGTATGTGTCTTTACAATAATGAAACCCATGAAGCGCATTATTGTACATTTAAGGTGAAAGAAACGAATGTATGTTGACCCCAGCAAAACAATTCTTGGTTTGCACTGTCACGCAATCCTGATGCAATAAAAAATTATTCCCAAACCATCAGTGGATGAAGTCAAGAAATTGTAATGTTATAGGAGATTAATAAAGATGACACTTCTCTGCACGTTTTCCAAAACCTCAGATATTCATTGAAATATTTTGCCCAAATTTACAGAGCACGGTGTGGAGCCGCCGTGTTGGTGTACCTCCATGGTACACCAACATTGCAGCCGGAAAATAGTGTAAACATCTGGAACTTACATGTACTTTGGCTATCTAGGCCACTGATTATCTGTACTGAACAAACAAGCATTTTCATAAGCACTTTTCCTAATACTTTAACTTCTGAATGGGCTAAAAATCACAAGATAACTATGTTTTTTCGACACACGCGTCCGTAGCTCTATGTCACGCACCACCATAACTCTGAAATTCAAAATGTCTCGCTTGCTTGAGAAATGCAAAAAAAAAAAAAATAATAATAGTAACAACGACAAAGGCTAAGGAAAATACACTGAAACATTTATAGGCTGATATAAAGACCTTGACTCATTTCATGCCCTAAAGGCTTGCAAACGAGTAATAAGCTATTAATCGATCCCAAGAAATACAATCAAAGGCAGAATAGTTTGAGCACATCTATTCGATTGAATTTCGTACGACTTCAAATGCAGAACATTTAGTTCAATTGCAATATAGCTGGTGCTTCTCAATATAACGACTGCCTGGGTACACGTAGCAAGGCATCTAGTTCTTTATATATATCAAGCTTGATAGTTATTTGTGAGTGAATTAATTTAAAAGTCTTTGAGTGTTGTGTATATAATTATTTTCTTGAGAGAGCACC